TACCAGCCAATAAACTGGTGCCTTATGTGGTATTAATTTTGTTAGTAGTGATATGGCCCTCATAGGAATCTGATAAGGGTTTGTCCGTCGCACATTAACACATCGCGGAGTTATTCAGGTTAGGAAAATACAAACAATGCTACAGGAGGAAATAGGAGAAGGGAAAAAAGGCTCGAAGGGTTTCTATAGGCTGAGGGATCTACCACTGTCACCGCATCCCACGGGCCGGTCAGAAGGAAATCGCGTTGTGATGCTCACCCCATCGCACTGGAAAAATCGCCGAGGTTTTATGGATGTTGCAAAGTTGTAGCATCCCCTGCCTGGCCCATGCTTTCCGGGGGCGCAGGGAGAGCCCTGAGGGAAGGGACATTGCCCTCCCGCCGCAAGGAGGGAGGAATGTCACGTTGTGGAAAAAGCATTTCCCCGTGGCAGGCGAACACTACGGGACAAGACCACGTGGGGCTTGACAGATCCGTGGGGTGAGGGGAAAAGAGTGCTCCCCGGGGGGTTTTGAAGGCCGAGGGTAGGCGCCCGGGGATGTGGGGAGCCGCGCCCGCCTCGACACCACGCCGCCCGGCGGACAGCGGCCCCACCACCGCCGCCAGCGCCCTCCCGGGCATGGCAGACGTGTGCCAGGCAGCAGCTCTCGGCCCGGGCCGTGATGTCGCCCGGCCGGCAGCCGCTCTCACCCGCCCGCCCTGCTGGAAGCGGAAACCGGCCCATGGCTGCTTCTCCCGGCGGCGTGTGGGAGAGAGGAGCGAACCACGCTCCTCAGGGATGGGCAGCGAGAACTGGGCAGCCCCAGGCTCCCCTTGAACTAAAGTGCCCTTAGTTCTGCGGGCCAGGCAGTGAGGCGACTTCAAAATGGCACAAGAGAGCGATGATGGAAGTGAAAGCAAGCAATCATTAAGCATTTCATTAAGAAATCTATCTGTCTCTCTGTCTGCGTCCCTGCCTGTCTGCTATCCGTCTGCTACCTCCGCCACAATTGCATATTGACTGGACAAGGCTGTCTAGTATCTCGGAATTTATCTAGTTACTCTTACTTCTATTATTTAGTACGTTACTTAAAGGAGACGGTGCTTTTGAAGAGGCGAAAAGTGAAAAGACCCAAATGCAGGGGGAGGGAGGGGAGATATAAAAATGATCGCCCAAATATAAACACATCAATAAACACGGTGCGCAGCATCCTGCGAAGATCCATTTGAACTGCTCGCGTCTGGATTCTTTCTGTGACATATGTCTGGCTTTACATTTTAAATGGTAATCAGACGCCGGGAAGAATCAAGCGTTAACTAAAGCATTAGGAGCTGCAACCGCACAATCAATCCTCCCAGAGTGGCATTGCTCCCTAAGAGATTCCTCAGCGCAGCAGCGAGCATTTTATCTCCAGGAAAATTAAGCCCAGCCTGGCGTCGTGGCGGTGATTTTAGGCTGGAAGCAACCCCCTTCCTCGGGAGTTTAACGCGGGAGGCACCAGGCCCCTTTACGGTTTCCAATGATCCGTGATAAACAATAACACGTCTTTTATTTCTTAAAAAAACGAGACAATCAAATAAAATGAGCAGAACCTGGGCATAAAACACCGGGCGAGCCGCAGGTTTATTAATTTCGTGAGACACATAGGCTGTGCAGGGAGGTGAGCGGGCGTTGTTGCAGGAAAGCCCAACCGCGGGGAGAGAGGAGCGATAGTAAAAGCTTCATCTGGACACCGCTTCAGCCTAGGTATAATAAACATCAGGACCGCCGGGCTATTTTATAGCGGTGAGTGTGATAAGAGGGGAGCAAAACTTGGAGCCAGTACCAGCGCAGCCCGCTCCTTCCCCTTCCCGGGAGTGCGGCTCCCGCCTGGGCGCAGGCGCTCGCCCATGTGGTCGAAGCGCGCGCGCCTGTGTGTATGGAAATCCATATTACACATTAATATACATCTATCTTCCAAATTCAGAGGTCGACCTGAGAGCAGCTCTGTGCATACGAAACCAGACGGGGAGGGGTTGCTGGGGAGGTCCGGGCTTCCATTGGCTGCAGCAGCCTGCCGTGGCGCGGGGGTATCTCTCATCATATTCAGCATGTTTTGCACAAGAAATGTCAGCCAGAAAGGGCTATCTGCTCCCTTCGCCAAATTATTCCACAACAATGTCATGCTCCGAGAGCCCGGCTGCAAACTCTTTTTTGGTAGACTCCCTGATCAGCTCGGGCAGAGGGGAAGCGGCGGGAGCAGGAGGCGGAGGCGGAGGCGGAGGCGGCTACTATCCCAACAGTGGTATCTACCTGCCACAGGCGTCCGATCTGTCCTACGGGCTGCAAAGCTGCGGACTTTTCCCCGTTCTGAGCAAACGCAATGAAGGTACTTCTCAAAGCATGGTCCCCAGCTCGCACTCCTACGTGTCAGGGATGGAAGTGTGGCTAGACCCCCCCCGGTCCTGTCGCATGGAAGAGCCGGAGAGCCAGCAGGCCACCTCGTGCTCCTTCGCTCCAAGCATTAAGGAGGAGAGCTCCTACTGCCTCTATGACTCAGAGAAATGCCCCAAGGGCTCGGGCGCCACAGACCTCGCTCCCTTCCCCCGGTTGAGTGCCGAGGTCAGCCCGGCCAGCAGCGGCGGCGGGGTTCCCGTCCCGGGCTACTTCCGCCTCTCCCAGGCTTATGGCACTTCCAAGAACTACGGCGCGGGGCCGGCCGGGGCTGCCCCCTTCCCTCCGCAGCCCCCCGGTCGCTTCCAGACACCTCCATCTTTGCCTCCTGTCCCAGACGCGGGGAGGAAAGAGGACGAGGAACGCTCCCCCAGCCCCTTGGCGTGCGTCTCCCAGAGGGAGGACGAGACTCAGGCTTCATCTTCCACCGCAGAGGAGCTCTCTCCAGCTCCGTCAGAGAGCAGCAAAGCTTCTCCCGAGAAAGAGCCCGTAGGTAAGCGAATGATGATGGTAATGGCGGTAGTGATGATTTAAAAAGCAAGAAAAAAAGAAAGAAAAAAAAAACTGTTGAGGATCATAGTGGCATCGCGATGCGAAAGGAGGATCCCAGCTGCCCCGCGGGGCTGCCAAGAAGCGCTGCTCAGACTGACCTTCTGAACTTTGTAATATTCGGGCATGGGGTTGCCGTAAAAATTAATGTCCATCCTGTAGTTTAAAATCCTTAGAGCCTCCGCAATGGGCAACTTTAGCCTGCATGCTGCTTAAACATATAAAATAACAAGATCACTTTTTCCCCTCTGTTGTGAAGGTGCCTACCAGATAACAGAGATGTTTGTGAAGCATCCAAAATAAGCAATAGGCAGTGCCAATAAATAAACCTATTAACACGGTAAGTTATATTTTACGATCCAGAATGCTTTTCGAAATAACAGCCGCGCTGAAATGTGCCATCTATGAGCTGCTATCAAATTAGACTGATGAATGCAACCGCGAATATCCTTCAGCGTCTACACTAGATAACAGAGCTGTTATTTATACATTTCCTCATTTATTTCCCTTTCGAGTCCCCATGGCAAAAAATAACTCCCCTTCCCCGGGCGGCAGACTTTTCAGGAGCTTCTCTCCATTCGCATTTCAGACGCCCTGTTATTCCTTTCAAACGCACTGTTGGAAAATAATATTAAAAAAAAAAAATGAAAGAAAGAGAAAAACTACTAGAGAGTCAACCCCAAACCACTAAGTCTGAGCCACCAAGGGATTGATGTTACCTCTTTCCCAGCCAGTGGGGAACATTTTTGAAACGTTTTTATTATTATTATTATTATTGTATTTTTTTTTCTCTGAAATGCTAAGGAAAAGAGAGGGCCGCGGTGAAGCATTCTGGAAAGGCAGGGCCGAAAGGCAGGGAGGCTTCGGCTCCCCAGGTCACCTTGTTTTCCACCTCCATAGCACACTTAAAAAGTTCGCATCCACAGGCTTTGGTTTTTTGGAAGCAGGTGGCAGGGGTGGAGCTGGAAATCAGCCTACAGGTCGTTCACCAAGCTGCCCCCGGTAACAGTGGGCTCTGAGCGGCTAACAGGGAAAGAATAGAAGCCTGTTTTGGGGTGTCGGAGTTGAACTACACGGCGGGGCAGGAGGTTTTTGAACAGTGTCAGTTTTTACCAAGGTAGATCCAACGCCTTTGGGAAACCACTTCGAAGCTCTTGGTTCCCACAAGGATACCCCACATTCCAACTCTCCGCAGCTGGCGGAGCGAGCCCACATGGATGCTCCTTCCACCCTCTCCCCCACAGCTCCTTGCCTCTGACTCGATAGTAACGTCCATTTTTTACTTTCTCAAAACTAGGCAATTCAAAAGGAGAAAATGCAGCAAACTGGCTCACGGCAAAAAGTGGCAGAAAGAAACGATGCCCCTATACCAAGCATCAAACTCTCGAGCTGGAAAAGGAGTTTCTATTCAATATGTACCTGACTCGTGAGCGTCGCCTAGAGATCAGCCGCACAGTCCACCTCACAGACAGACAAGTTAAAATCTGGTTTCAGAATCGCAGAATGAAACTGAAGAAAATGAACAGAGAGAATAGGATTCGGGAGCTCACAGCCAACTTTAATTTCTCTTGATGAATCCATAAACACGTCTTTATGGTTTAAAGAGCCAGTATCATTTTCCTAGGCTGTAGTCATCCGCACCTGTATGGATTAATGATTTTAGACACTCTCAATACGTCCTTAACCTCTTAAGAGCTACTTTGGGGGGTGAGGGGGTGGGTAGACTAAAGCCACACTAAAGAACAAAATGCCGTGCGTGAACCTCCCCTCTTCCTTCAGCCTTCTTCCGGGCCGATTTTTTCCTCTAAGCTTTGAAACATAGAAATACGATTTCAGAAGCTGCAAATAGGTTTTCCTGTATATGTCTCTTTGAAAAGTAAACAACCTTGGTTAAAGGTACATTCTTTTAAAATATAAGTGCTGTAACTTGGACTATATGTAGCTGCACAATGAAGAATTTAAGCCTTGCCATATTTCTATATATTGGGTTCCCTCCTCTCCTTTCCTTTTCTCCCCCTCCCCCTTTTTTCTTCGAAAAGCAGGACTTACAATAATGAAATGCAGGCATGCTTTAAAAGGGTTTCATGGGAACGGGTGTTAAGAGAATTTTTTTTTTTTTGCTTTACCTTAAAAGTCATTATTACAGCTTTAAAATTGGCCAGGAAAATGAAGTCTTTTCTCTTTAAAGGTATAAAAGAGTTCGTTTTGCTCATGGACTAAATTATTACTCTTACCTCTGAATTTCTCTTGCTGGTTGTAGATATTTACTTAATGTAGTTTTGCTTAAATATGTGGAATTAGTTATTTTTTTTTGTGTCTATATATAATGTTACCGTTGGTAACGCATGACAAGCACACAGAAATTCCCCCTCGAGAAAGAAATAGTCACTTTTTCCTCACTAATTTCACTGAAAAGTACATATCCTGAACATGAGATGGACTTTCTGAGCCAGAGTCTGAGATTGCAAGGGAGAACGTGTCTTCCTTTATACTGTGAAGTTATATGCATTAAAGGGTCAAACATATGGGTGAAAAAAAATTAAAAAAGAGAAAAAAAGAAAGAAGGGGAAAAGCTATAAATACAGATATGGATAAATGTCTATTATTATTAAAATGCCGATACTGTTTTAAGCAAATGCATTATATTGTTATTATAAATGTTAGTTCTAGCTATATCTAGTTCTTACCTTAAATCGGAATAAATTAATATTGTAATGCTGCTGTGCGTGAAAAAGACGATGTTTATGTTCTCATAGAAGAATAAAAAAACGTGGAATGAATCCTTTTAATTTTACCTCTTTTTGTGACTGTTTATCCTCAGGTTCTACTTTATGTCTTCGAGAACTTTTACAACAGGAATAGTTGCCTAAACCCCCTGCAATTACTTTAGGAATCTATTTAAATATTACCTAGACGGTCGTAATTTGTCTGGGCCATATAGCGATGGTGCTCTAAGGTTTGTCGGCTTTTGTTCAGTTTTATGACTTGCTAGTATATCTGGATTGTTGCTGTCTTGAACGAGTGGTTTCAGTTGACTGAGGAGCTGCATAGACTGAGGAAGCAAATTGCTATTTCTTGAGGGAAGGGAAGCGATTTTTTTCTTAATCGAACACCTACAAGTGCGCGGAGATCTTTAACTCCAGAAGAGGCTGACAAAATTCTAGCTTTATCTCAGGGCTGAGAAGAAATCGTAAAGGTGAGCTCATGGGGAGGGGGGGACCCAGGTCTTGTCTCCCTGCCAGTGGGCCCCTCCAAACAAGGCTATTCCCTACCTGGCTGCATGTGGAAGAACTTATTTCACCCAGCTGCCTTTTTTTTTTTTTTTTTTTTTTGCATCCTCCCGTCCTTGATGCATGTTTAGCTTGCACAAAGTCTTGCACAATGGGAAGGCAAAAGGAAGGCTGGAAGAAAAGCGACAGCTAATGCTTTCTTGCAAGGGTACATGTATGCCGGGAGGAGGGGGGGACAGACTTTGAACCAGGGCTTCTTGGGAGCCGTTAGCTTTTCATGATGTAACATTGTCGTGCACGGCCTTTTTTTTTCTCCCGGTTGCATCTGCATGGAAAGGCGAAAGCTGCCCGCGCGCGCTTGTGTGGGTGGTTGTTATTATATTTTATTCTTGTTTTCATTAACCCACCCGAGGCTGGCCGGGGGGCGCGGAGGGGAGCCGGCGGGGTGGGCGGGAGGGAGAGAGGGATGTTTTAGTCACGTTTCTGGTTTTATTTTCGTAGCGGGATCCTTGCGTTAAGGACCACGGCAATGGGGAAAGTAATAATTAGCGCCTGAGAACTGCTCTGTGGTTTAGGTAGTTTCATGTTGTTGGGGCTCCACCTTTCTCTCTACAGCACGAAACTGCCTTAATTACTTCAGTTGATATCATCACCAGGTATGCTTGGTGCGAGGGTCCATTCTGCCCGAAGAAATCTTAGCGCTGAAGTGAACTGTAGGCGTCAAGTCCCAATGCCATTGTTTCCCATCTGCAGCGGAGCCTCCTTTGATTCCTCAGATAAACACGGCAGCCGAGGGGGGAAGCTTGACAAGTTCTTCAAGGTTAGCTAGCTTCTAAGCGAGTCCCTGCCTGCTTGCGGGTTTTTAATGTATCTCGTTGGCTGCATTCAAGGTCAGGTGCGTTTTGCATTCCGCTCGGCGTGGGTCGAGCTCGGGGGGTCGGGGGAGGTGGGGGGACGTTTTTATTTTTCAGCCTGGATTTATTAAAAAACAAGAGATCCGAAAGCGTGCCTGGGGGAGGGGGTGGGGAGAGTTCAAATCTGCCGGCCCCGCTCTACGCGTCATCAAAAACAAGGGCCCGGAGCACATCGCCCGCGGTCGGGTGGACCGCTGGCGGCGGGGGTGCCGGCCCCGCCGGCGGCTCTCGTCCCCCGCGGTGGGGTGGCTGGTGGCTGCCGGAGCCTGTCGCAGGGCTCCGCCGGCTCTGTGCCGCAGCCCGTCGGGCCCGCTCCGCCGGGGCTGCCCGGGGGCGCCGGCTGCCCCGCGGCCCGCAAGGCCTCGGTTACGATCACGATTGCGGCGCGGTCTCTCCGCGGAGGCGGAACGGGCAACAGCGACCTCTCCGGGCCCGCTGCCGCCGCCGCCGCCGCCGCCTTTTGTGTCCGCAGCGCAACCGCGGGCCAGGGGCGGGCTCCCGCCGAGCCCTCCGCCGGCAGCCAGCGCCGGCGCACCCGCGGAGCCGGGCACCCTCCGTGGAGGAAAGGAGGGTGCGGGAAAGGACCGAAAACTCACTCCTTGGGCATTTATTTCTATTTAGGATTTTAGGGGTCGTGATTATTTTTGCCTTAAAAAAATAACAATAGTAAAACCTATAAACTTTTTGGAAAGTCCAGGTTGGGCTGGAGGGGGTCAAAAGAGTTTGGATAGCGGAATTTAGCTAGACCGATCCCTAGAGAAGCAGATGTCCCCGGCCGGGGCAGGAGCAGAGCTCTGCATTGCAGCCAAATTTAAGTGCTTGTGTCTGTCTCTGCATACACTGTGAGTCTGACGGGCTATCTTCTGGGGCTGTGTACATTCGGGGAGTGTGTTTACAGTGCCTATGACTGTGCGTGCCTGTATGGCGTTTGTTGCCTCTGCCCTTTTGCTTCCCAGTTGAATCGCCTAATCTTGACTTTGGACAGCTTCCCCTTAATTTTGAATCATTTTTTCTCTTCACTGTGCCAAAACCCCTCCGTGCATTCATAGCACCACTGGTTCAGAGAGCTCTGCAGTGGCAGGAAACCCTGGGGAAAAGCGATCCTGAACTTCCCGTTCAGGAGAGGTCGCCAACGCCCGCGGATTCCTGCCCCGCGCCCGAGTATACTCCGCGCCTCCGTGGTGCGTAGCTAATGAAGCAAAGTTTGCAGATGTCTCTCGCTTGAAAACCGATGGGATCCTTCCTGTTGCAGCCGGGGGTCAGAGCTAGAGGAATGGGAGCTCTGCTAATTCGGTTATGTCGGGATGGAGGAGTATTTTTATTCAGACACGATGGCTCCATCAGTGCTTCGTTCCTGGGAATTCCGGTTTCATATAGCAATTTTACGTGAACGCCTGTTTCTGCCCTGCTTGGGGGTCTTTTGCCTCCGAAGGTGTAAGTCACCAAAACCGTAAGGTATTTGCAACACAAACTGTACGAAGCCCACTCGCCTTTGTAACTCGCTTGAAAACTGCACTTTGGTTGAAAATGGATCTAAAACCGCACAAAAAAAGAGAGGAGAATATCCCAGCGTTTTTATCAGCAACGTTACCGCGTGAAAAATGTCTAATTATTTGCTAGATTTTGCCTCTTGCTTTCTGTACACCCTGTCCTTCCTCTTGGATGCTGGCAGTGAACAAATACAGAATTTTACAGGGAAATAAAAATGCAGACACGTTCTTTTAAACGCTACTGTTATTGTTATTCATTTGCTATTAGTTTTGGTGAGGAACCAAAAAAATGAAACCCGCTGCTGAAGTTGAGAACCCAAATTCGAGTATAAACATCCAGGACTCCTGCAGCTAAGATTATTTTTTCTGAATGGAAAAAGGAAGTTCTACAATCACATTTCACCACAGCTGACTCTTAATAATAAATACGAATGACGTGGAGTTCCGTCTTTCCAGGAAAGAAATACAATTATTTTTTTCTATTACGGAGGGTCTATACAATACCGAAAAAAAAAAAAAAAAAGAGGCAGAGAGCTTTATTTGCATTTTTTAAATTGTTAGAAAATAACGGGCCCCTTGTTTATTGAGGTCCTGCAACTGCTCCGTAATTTTTGAACTCTAATGGGGGATAATAGTTTCATTATGGACCTTTGTAATTCTGAATGGGGAAGAGAGCATTGTTAAAATAGGACCTCTGTAAGATTTCGGATTAAACTGTTGAGAAGACATAAAAAGAAAAAGAAAGAGAAGAGAGGAGAGAGAGAGAGAGAGAGAGGGAGAGAGACAGCCCACATAGCCATGTAAAACTAATTAGAACCACACTTTCGCATGCACAGTCTTTACACGCGATTTTAATTATTACTCAGTCGTCCCTACCATTTGCTGGGCTCTATTTTCAATAAAAGATATTTTGAGTAAATTGAGCCTCTCGCGGAGATTTTTTGTGCCCCCTGCATCCTGGTGACCGCGCTCCTTCACCAGCCACGGGGATAAACAGCGTGATTGTCCACCAGAGAGAAACCAAGGAGTCACAGGCATGTTTGCCAAGCGCTCAGCCACGACTTTAATTCCTAACACTGGACTTGGATCTGGCCGCCTCTTACTTTTCCCCCGCGCACCCTCCCCTCCTTCTGCGGAGGATTGTAACCCTCCGCTTGGCTTCCGATGCCGCTAGCGTGTGTCTTGCAGTCATAGGAGGTGCCAGCAAATAAATAACTATATTTGCACATAAATTTGATTCATCAGAATGCGGGACGGCCGACTGCGAACGCCCCTTTGATAGCCGCCCGGAGAAGCAGGGTGCCTTTCGGCAGCGGGGAGACGGGGCTTTTTCTCCCCTTTCCCCCCGCTGCTTCCCTGCATAGTTGAAGAATTAATCGTCGTGATAAATATCGCCGCCCGGCTCTGCCCGCGCTCCTTCCCTCCCGGTCCCTACGGCGGCTCCGCTCCGGCCGCCGCCGCGCCGCCCAGCCCCGGCTCCTTTCCCCGGCCTGGCGAGGGGTCCCCGGTCCAAGGGCAGGGTCGGGCAGGCGCGGCGGGGAGGACGAGGAGGGTGTTTCGGTCACTGCCGCGCCATGCCCTGCGGGGTGGGGTGGTGAAGTGCAGTTTGGTGCGGGCCAGCCTAAGTAACGAGCCAGCGCCTGCCCCTGTTCTCCTCCGGCCGGGCGGGGAGGGCCGGCTCTGCGCCGCGGTTTCGGAAAGGGGATAGGTTGAATTTGACTTTCCGCTGCCAGCTCTGAGCCGAACGGAACGGTATTATTTACAGTGGGTTCCCAAACTAAACACAATAGTATAATTTAACCTTTCCAAGCACTCGTAAATTTTTACTGCTGAGAAACACAGCGATGCAAATGAGCGCGCTCATAGTTACTGACTTAATAACAACCCCGTGGCTCCCGAAACAATAACTCCTTATGAAATATAATAAATGTATATTTAAATACAGTATACCGCAACTGTTATTTTGCTTTTTTTATTGCTTCAGTTATTGTATCATTTTATGTGAAGGTCTCCGATCACAAGGGTGGTGGGATTTTTTTTTCGCGGGGAACACGACCCACTGATGGGATGATTAATTATGATATAAAATAGTCCGCTTAAACGAAAAAATAAAGAGAGAGAGGGGAGAGAGAGAGAGAAAGAGAGAAGGGGGGCTGTAAT